AAAATACTGCGGGAGGCAATGCCTCATCTGACAGTGCCAAGCACTTTCCATTACTAGCTGACCACAGTTTTAAGTCATTTTACCCTGGGTTCCTTACCTGTGCCAGCTGAGCAGGCAGCTGCCTCCAACTATAAAATTCTGCAGGTTTAAGGATCTTGCTTCTGATATCCAATCATTCGTTCATCTTGCAGATACTGAACTCCTAGGATGTGGCTCCCTGCACGGCGCTGTGCGTAGAAACAGGCAGGACTGGCATTGTCACGGTTTCATGAGGCCACCAGTTGAGGATGCTTTTCTGGAGCTTGCCATCAGAACATCCTTCTTTGACTCCTAGAACCAAATTTATTCTGGTTAAAAATTTGTTATTTACTATCTCGTTTCTTACATGTATCAGGTTGTAGAATGAATCTTTAGACTCAAGCCTGTGGTCTCTCTCTAGGCTTATGACTCTACTTCACAAAAGACTTACATTGTAAGAGTTAAAAAAAAAAAAACAAAAAAACAACGTGATCTGTTAGGAACACCTAGCTTTTAAATCTCCACCTCTGACTTTCTTTGGAAAGGTTCAGTCTGGTGTGGAAAGCAAACCCTAAATGTCCAGCGTCGCAGGGCAGTGCTGTGCACTCAGCACTCTGTGCCTTACCTCACCTTGTCCTCCTGGAGCCGCACGACTGGGCTCCCACGCCCACTCTGGGTCACACGACAGGGCAGCTGGCTTCGACCAGGCTGCCCTTTGACTCAGGTGTGAAGCTGGCACTGTTTCCTCTGTGTGTCCCAGCCACACTCAGCAGGGGGCTGGCATGTGTACATAGTAGCATTTCCCATCACTGTCAGTTGCCTTACCCCCTTCTCCTGCTGTGCAAATTCTTAAGATTCTGTTCAGAATAGAAATGAGAATAGAATGGAACAGAACTGGGCCCTGTAGAGTCTCTGCTGGATCCTTAAGATTCAACATCCCCAAGGAGCTGAACAATTGTGGGGAGTTTTAAAGGCTGAGCTCCAGCCAGGTTGTGTACTAAGGAGATCACGAAAATGAAAAGCTTTTCCCCTCTCTCTTGGCCGAGCGCTAATCTTCCCAGTCGGACTCTGTCCTGTGCCCAAGAACTGCACTCCAGATAGTCGGGCAACACGAAGTTGGGGAACAGCTGCAACCCACCAGCTCCGTCCACATGCCCGATGTTTCCTGCGAGTATTCAGGGATAAAGCTCACTCTCGACCTGAAACATTCTGCTATCTCCAGCACACACAGTATTTATGCGATGGCACTGATTATGTGGTAAGAAACTATAATCCTGGGCATGGGGGCATTTTAATCATACAATGTTGCATTTTCAGAAGAGAAACACAATCTGGTAAAAGAAAGGAGACACACACTATGTCTGTGAGAGCTCTTGGTGCTGAGTTTAGAAACTGTTCTGCATGGAAATGGATAAAACATAAACATAGCCATTTATCTGCCCAGGACAAGAAATTCCACCATGCGATGAGCATTAAGATAACATTTCAAACCTATCCTTTCCCGTCTGAGGCCAAGAACTCGTTTCCCTACTTTCTTGGCTACTGGCACACAGCGAACTACCAGACCTGAGATTTCTGTCACACACTGACGCTGATGGCCCAATTCTGCTGTGTCAACTGGTAACTTGCATGGAGCTGCCCCCCTACAACCCAGGCGAATGACTTTCCATGGTTAACTTTCTGGGATTCGGATCCATATCTGATTCCGCCTCTGCAGTGTGACAGAACCCCATGAAGGGTATTTGCTAAAGGGACTGCTATTTGTTTTCTTTTATTTTCTGTTACTGGGGATCGAACCCAGGACCTTCACACTAAGTTACCTCCCCATCCCTTTTTATTTTGGGCAAAGGTCTTGCTCATTTGCTAAGTTGCCCAGGTTGGACTCAAACTTGCCTTCCTCCTGCCTCAGCCTCCCACAGTGCTGGGATCACAGGTGTGGGCCACTGCACCCGGCTTTCTTCAAGCCATGTGCCTGAGTGTGCGATCAAATGTGAAACAGTGACGTGCCTACGAACCGGGTAGTGACCTCGAGCAGGAACTGGCTTGGGTTCTACTTGCAGGGTCTGGGCCTCTCCCTCCACGGGATGACAGTGGGAGGGCGCTGTGCCAGACCCTGCGGTGACCCTCCAGCCCTCTCTCCAGCTTCTCCCCCGGCTGTGTTCACACTGGAGGTGGAGGTGAGGCCCATGTCTCCGCTGCCTTCTCCTGCAGTGTGTTTACGCTGCCACTTCCCCGGGGTAAATGAGCCCACTTCGCACAGAGGCCGCCCTTGTGAAGTCAGAGGGTCTCACTCTTTAAGGCACAAGTCTGTTAAAGGTTTTACGACTTGCAAGCAAAGCAGTGTTTCATCTTCAGCTACAAGACAGCTAGAGTCAAAGAGAGAGCCTTCTACACCAAATAAATTAAGCACTGGACTAATTTACAATTCCACGCACCCTTGCCAGACGCCCTAACTGAATGCAGTCAACAGATTGAATGTTCCCTTGGCAGCAAGCGAGGGTCTGAGGCTCCGCACCTGCACCGCCCCGTTGGGTCTCAGTGTTGAATCGCAGCCAAACCCACGCTGGGCCAGGCAGCAGAGCTGGCACTGGAGGTGGGGCCCGAGTCCTCCAGGTACGGCGGTACTGGTTCCGGGTGGCAAGGTGGTGGCCCGCGAACACTGGGCGGGATGGGTCCTCCCTCTGTGCGCAGGCGGCTCAGTCCAAGTCCCTGGCAGGAGCTCTTTACCATCTCAGCTGGAGAACGAGGGGACCTTTTGTACGTGGAGCCAAAATCTGTACTGTCAGAGTCAAAGCGAGACCCCTCCCGGGGTTCCGGGTGTGGCCTAGCACCTGCCCTCACAGTGACACCAGGGATCCGCACCTGCTGGCCCTCCTGGCCACTCCGGCTGGCCCTAGGGGCCAGAAACCGGTCTTCAACAGATGGAACTTTAGAATCAGAACGCGGTGATGTCAGTGTGCCGGCTTGTGTGCGGAGAGCTGGCTGGTGTAGGCAGCCAGCAGACACACGTAAAGAGCCAGCAGGAATTACTCGTTTCTCTCCATCCACAGACCGGGTCTTCCGCCTCCCTCTAGGGGCCCCAGAGGACTAACAGGGCAGGTGAGGCTAGGCTTCCTCTTCTTAGGCCTTGTTGGTACAGAAATGAGCCGGGCAGAAATAAAAGAGAAAGAAGAGAAACCCACAGCCAGACTGCATGTGGACCCGCAGCCCATCCGGGAGCGGCTCCACCCTGGCCCAGGTCACCTTCTGGGGCAAGGGGAGGACAGGGTGGCGGGGAAACAGTCAGCATCGTACCCGAGAAGTGTCTGCACAGAGCACACGGCCTTGGAACCGGGTCGCTGCTGCCGGTCCCGGGCACACAAACATTTTCATGCCTGGTTAGAAAGTGGAGAGAAACTTGACTGGCTGCTGTGGCTGTGGCCTTGAAGACTCAACAGCCTCTTTGTTGTCCTGTGCCTCTGCAGCCAGGCAGGTGTGACGGGGCCCTGCTCCACAGGCAGTGTGCTTTGAAGCCAGAATCAAGGCTGCGGTACCTTCAAGGAAGCAGGGCTCTAATCATCACAACACCCGCCGGCCGTGGCCTTCATCCCTCAGCCTCCACCTCCCTGCCTGGCACCGGCCCAGGTCCCCACAGATGGCTCTGTGCCCGCCCAGGCGGCCGGCGGAGGAGGCTTCTTGGTGTCCCCCACGGCTGACACAGACCCACCAGCCCAGGAGCCCGGACCCAACCACGGAGGGCCGCCGGCTGAGGGGCCCCAGGGCTAGGTGGGGTACCTCTCTCACCCGTGCCACCTGCGGTCCCTCCCCGGGCTGGAGCCGTGGCGTGGGACCGCCGGCCCTTGCCAAGTCGGCCATCCTGGCCCCATCCGGGAGGCGACATCTCAAGGCCAGGGGAAGCTCGGAGCGGGGGCTCGTAACTTCATCCTGTACTGGAGAGTTTGAAAGCAGAAGCCAAGTGAGCAAAAACAGAAAGAGCTATAAACCATCACTTGAAAGGAACGGCTAAAGAATTCATGGGGCCGAATGCGCAGTTGCAGCGATAATCATCTATGACTCGGTCTCCTTGGCTTCTCCAGGCAGAACCTGGGCTGTGTTCATGCACACGTTCTTCTTCCTGCTTCCTGCGCCCAAGAGCCAAGCATCCAAGTCAAGGGTTGCACAAAAGCCTGCCCCACAGCTTCATGCACACACAAGCACACACGCACCAGCCTTGGTCCTCGGGGAGCCATTGAATTGTAGGAATTCTTTTAGAATTTATTCGACATTATCACGAATCCATTCTAGTGCAGTTTAATGTCTTACGTATTAAATGGAACTAAAAATGTATTTCCTGAACTTCCCCAAACTGCATGTGCTAAGTGGAAAAACACCAGAAGCTTATTCCCCGGAAAACCAGAGGCAGCGGAACTGCGAGGAGAGTAGCATTCCAGTTCTGGAGTAGTGGTTCTCGGCTGGTGGAAACTTGGCTTCCTGGGGAGCCGCTGTGGTTGTCCCAACTGGGGACAAGGCGCTACTGGCACCCAGTGCGGGGAGGCCAGGGATGCAGCCCTGAAACAAGGAACATCCAGCCCCAAATGTCCAGGATAAGCAACCAAGTTCTTTCCATCCAACGCAGCAAAGCATAATGTACATAAGAAATCCAGTGCAGAAAAGAAAGAATTTTCATTGCCCAAAGCCGTAAGTGACATGCATCATTTAGAAAACAAAACCATTAAATAAACACTTAAAATTCACAAAACAGGAAGTCAGGTAGCTGAGAAAAAGGCTTCAATTGTGTGCCAGACTAGGAAGAGCCTTTGCATTTTCCAACAGGTTTATTTGTCTGTTTTACAAACATTTTCTGAGAATAAAAGGCTCAGTTTCACAAAACAGAACTTGAAGGTTTTGTAAGATTGTAGTTACACAGTGGTAGATTTTGTTTATATAAAGATTATAATGCATTTCAAACTATGGAAGCAGTTTAAATTCTTTCCTGAGCTGGATTACCATACTGTAATATAAAGCATTGTGGGAAACCAAAATAGATTTATCTTCCCAAACTATAAGCTGGATTTGAGGACTTTTAAAAAAGGGTGTTTAAAGCTTCCAAAAGTGAATTGCGTACAGTAAGTGTGTGTGTGCACGTGTGTGTGTGCACACACGTATCTGTGTGCGTTCACACCCCTCGGCGGTAAGTTTCCCAGCCTGTTTAATGAAGGTGGTACTCCACGCACCCGCGGGAGTGAGTAGTTACTGTCACACAGAGTATTTTGTCCCATAGAAGCTGCATCTATGAGATGTCCATAATTTACCCATCTGTTTCCACAGTTGACGCATATCGGGAATCCAGAAAATGCTCCAGAATGAAGGAGATAAGCATAGAAACCGTAGGAGTTGGCCTTTTAAGTTACTAGTTAGAGGTCACCTTACAACACCACCAATTGTAACTCAGAATCCTAAAGAATCCATGTGTGAAGGTGGGGTGAAGCATGGTTTTTACAGAAGGTTTTGCCTCCTTCACAACTATAAAAATCCATTATAGGCTAAAAATAAAACAAATAAGCAGAAATCAACCAGTAATATTTTACTAAATATGGTAAGCTCAATTTTTAAATGTTAAAAGATTTGGAAGACTATAAATGTCCATATGCAAATCGCCTGAACATCTCAATGGCTCCCTGAGTTCTCAGAATTAGCCTTTGAAATAAGAGGAGGAAAGAACCTAAGAAAAGCCAGAGGAGAGCAAAAGCTTTGCCCTCTTTGCTCCCTCATGCAGCCCCACAAGCCTGCCTTTCCGGGCTCTCACCCCAGCCTCACAGGCCATGAGCCCACAGCAGGTTGGACGTCCACTTCAAAGCTTAGGGACAAGAGCAATGACACCTCCCCGCCCTGCGCTACACAACCACAACCCAGTCGCTGGGGCCCTGTGTCCACTGCCTGGGCTGGGGGAGGCCCGGACACCTGGCGGAGGTGGTTCTGTGACCAGGAGACGTTTCTGGAGATGGGAGACTGGGGGACAGAGCAAGATCACCGACTGCACCCCAAGTGGGCCCATCCGCCCCAATGAAGGCCTGGAGAGAACAAAGTGGAGGGGTGGGTGTGTGTCCTGAACGGGTGTGAGCTGGGGTGGCCACGGCCTCTGTCCCCAGAGCTCACCCCCAAATGTGGGCAAGGGCACCCTCAGACTCCCTGCACCTCCAGCCTGTGCACTGCAGACTCTGGGCTTTTTAGCCTTCACAGTCATGTGCACAAATTCTCCTGATAAATCTGTCTCTAGCTCTGTTATTGCCGTTTCCCTGGACCTCTGGCTGAGAGGGAGGCAACTGGGGAGGTGGTACTGAGTGAAGCTAGGCAAGGAGCGGGGGAGACCACCAGGCGGAGGAGGCCCAGGTGGGGCTTGGAGGCCTGCGCGGGCCACTACGTCTCGGAGGAAGAGCAGCACTGGCGGCCTGCGGTATGAGAGGAGGCCTGCAGAAGAGCCGGTGGACCTTCCAGGGACGTGGGAAGTTCAGCCACCACCCGATGGGCACCCCTGCTCGCCCCTCTGCCCCTGCGCTGGGAGCAGACCAGAGGGCAGCCGTGAAATGGGGCAGGCTGGGGGAGGGCCTGGCGCCACCGGGCAGGAAGTCGGGGGGCTGAAAGCCCTGTGGGGCAGGGCCTGAGCCTGTGTGCCGAGGCCCAAGGCTCTGCCCTGACACCAGCAAACCACAGGAAAGGGGGAAAGGCCGGTCAGGTTTGAAGGCTTGGTCCATGGAACTTTCTGGCAGCTGGGACAGGAGCGTGAAGGACCAAACCAAACCAAACCCCAGAAGGTGAGGGGCGCCCCAAGGTCCCGGCTCCAGTAAATGCGGGAGGGAAGCTGGCCCTAAAGGGGCAGGGCAATCCAGCCGTCCAGAAGGAGGTCTGTGCTCTGGCCACTCGGTCTGCGCTGGGAGCTGGGGGTTGGCTCAGCCTCCAGGTGCGGGAGGAACAGGGCTCCTGAAGGAAGCAGGATAAAATAGTAATTAGGAAATCCCCGAACCTCACACAGTTCTTACTCCAACTCTGGATCCTCCAGGCCCTTTCTGATGGTCTTGCCCTTTCCCTCCCCACCCTGTTTTCCCTTCCCACCTATGGGCCCCACAGTGGTTCTGGCACCGTAACCACAAAGCCATTGCCCCAACAGGCGGGCCTGAGTGTCCCTGCCAGCAGCGGGGGACAAGCAGCACGGTCTCTTATATCACCTAAAGTGCCAGGAGGTCCTAGGCATCCGAGTGCTTGTGTTCTCATCCTCTCACGAGTCAGGGCCATGGCAAGGGGAGAAACCACTGATTGTTGCAGGAATAGAAGGCAGATGATCCCTCACACAGCTGTCTCTCCCCGCTAACCCGGAGTCCTGCGATAGGCTGCCTGGGGAGTGGGGAGAGGCCCATTCTCGGCCATGAGCGCTCCTGCTTGCGTTCTCCCCTAGCCCGCAGGGCCACAATGAGAGGTGACTATATCACCCAGGGTCACAGCAGGGACTGCGGGGCTCAGAGGGTGGCGAGGCCGCTCCACAGCCTGCCCACTGAGCTGCAGGGGCTGCCACTTCCATGCCAGGCAGGGTGAGTAGCACCTCCCCCCGGCCCAAAGGCGAGAACTCCTGTCCCATAAACGCCTGCTTCCCCTGGTCTTCACAGCAAGCTGGAGAAGGAAGCACCCTGCCCCCCTTATCCTGAGCTGCAGGCCCAAGCTCTAGAGGCTGACCCCACAGTCCAGCTGGGCTTGAGTGGCTCCCCGTTAGCAGTGGCCTGATCCTCCCATTTGAACGCAGCCCCCGTGGGTGTGGAGACTCTAGGACTCACTCGTGGGGGGCAGTGGGAACCCCAGCCGACACGTGGGCCCACCTGCACCTGTCATGGCCTCCACGTCTGTTTCCAGGGCTCCAGGTCGTTTCTGAGCAGGTTGTCCTCAGAGTTTGTAGTTACAAAGTTATTTAGCTGTTGCATTCACATGCCCAGTGGGAGAGGGGCTGGAAACTCACGTTGTAGGGGGCGTGTGATGACGCGGGGACGCTCAGGGACACAGGTCGTGCACACAAGCACACTCCACGCCAGCTGTGTAATGCACACACACAGGCAGATCATGCAGGGGAAGAGATGTCATGCTCCGGGCACCTGGGCTCGTGGGGACAGAGGCTGCCTGCGGGCGAGGGCAGCGTGGCGCTGTGGGGACCACAGGGCACCATGTCTGTGTCATGTGTGCCCTGCCAGTGTTCCCAGGACCTGAGTGTGGGAGGGTGAGGTACACAGCAGGGCCTGAGAGGCCGTGCAAGGCCGCCCGGGGGCTGCATGAGTGAACACAGACAGCACGGGTGATTTGGCACTGACTGTGTCCCCAACAAGGTCCAGAAGCCTCCACATCTGTGGGAAGGACACTGGGGACCAGGCAGCGGACAGCAGGCAGTGTCGGCTGAGCCAGCAAACGTGTCCTGTGTTCCAGGTCATTTTCTATCAATGGCTTCAGGTCGGAACTGTGTCCATCACATGAGGGAGAGAAATGTCACCACCCACAGGTCTCCCCGTCCCAAGGGCCCTGGGAGGACAGCTCTGCCGTGCAAGCCGTGTCCCATGTCCCCTAAATCAGACTCCCTGAGCCAGGGAGGGGAGCTGCTACGCGCAGCCCCTGGCTGTGCTTCTCGGGCAGTGGCCCTCCAGCCGGAACCGTCAGATTCCCCAGCACCTCGTGAGAAAAGGGAAGAGGAGAAAGACCAAATCCCTCTGCTGAGAGAGAACTCTCCCCATGGGAGCCCACAGCAGCTTCTGGGAAGAGACAGGCAGGGACGCAGCCAGGCCGCGTGTCTGCCCCCAGCAGGATGGGAACCTGGGCCCGGGTGCCGCCCCGGTGCTACCTAGGCTTGGTGCTGGGTGCAGCAGGGTGGGCACCCCGCGCTCTGTTCAGTCCACAGCTGCACTCTGCCAGCACACAGTGCTCCTGTCTGCTTCCAACCCTAACTGGCAAACCCTCCCCAGACCTGTGCGCAGGGTGGGAGGCTGGGGCTGGGTGAGACTCCGGGTCCTGGGGGAGCCTATTTATTCTGACCAGCTCAGCGGCGGAAGGCTGACTGCATAGAACCCACATTTTTCTCTTATCCCAGACCACAATCTCAGACACTTTCCTAAGGGAAGGAAAGGATGTGGAGAACAGCGGGCAGGCCTGTTTGCCGGACACTGTCCCGAGGCACACGCTCCCTGCCTGCAGGCGAGGTCCCCTTCACGTATCCTCTCGGACTCATCGGTGGCTCCTGGGTGCACCCAGGAGCGGTGGGGGCACAGGAGCCATGTGGGAGACTTTGAGTGAGAGAGGGCACCCAGAGGAGTGAGGGAGAGTGCAAGTGAGCGAGGGGCAAGTGTGCAAACGTGCAGCCACACACATGTGCTCGTGTGCACACACACACCACTGTGACTGTATTTTTGCCTCAGGCCCATGTTGACCAGGAACAAATTACCGTGGCCCCACGTCTCTCACATCCAGGGTGGGGGTGGCAGCAGCACCAGCTCACAGCACCGGGCAAGCCCAGGGCGCCAGCTCGGCGGGCCTCGGCCCCTGCAGGTGTGGGCATCCGGAGCCAGTCAGGACGCGGCCCACAGACCCAAGGGATGGCTGCTGTCACCCAGGCAAATGGC